TGTCATTTTATACTTAATTGTTTTTTCAATAGACACTTATATATACATTAAAAATTCTTTAATTATGCAATAAAAACCATTAAACTGTGCAATATAAACTCATAAATCCCTATAATAAAATAAAATCTATTAATAACCTTGTCCAAATATTTTTGATTTCAATCTTAAATTAATTAATGTATTTATATTTTTACTCATTTATATATTTATTATTGTTTTTATTAAACTGAATGATAATTATTATGCATGATCATTTAACTTTCTAAGTATTTTTTAATATTACATATTTATATATAGATCGTATTTTGAACATTTTCAAAAAAAAAAAAATTGTTTTTATAAATATTAAAAAAATTAATAACTGATAAGTTAGAATTTAACAATAACTTAAATAAAAAATTTGTCTAAAATTTAGAAGGTATTTTAAATAATTTTACAAACACATATCAAATATTCCAAAACCCTTAAAAAATAAAATTGTATATACTTAAACACACGATCTTAAGAAAATGTCTATATTATCTAGCATTTAATATAACTTATTAGATTAAATATAAATAAATTAACTTTCAAGCCAGTGCTTAAATACCAGTGTATTTATAACATGGTTTTACTGAATAAAATATTGTAATGTCTAAAATTTGACCTTATTTTGGGGGGATTTATTCGGGACATTTGGGTATTACCTTATTTCAGATGCACTTGGAACATTTAAAAAGGGTCATTTTAGGACATACAGAAAACCCCTAATAAAAAATCTTTGGATGGTTAAAAAAAAAAAATTATTGTTTTATAAATTTTACAATTCTTAAATTGTTCAAAACCTAAAAACTTTTAGTGTGTGCTTTTTGACATTTTTCTTATCAAATTAAAACATAAATTATTAAACATTATTCACTATTTATCATATAAAAATTTATTTTACTCGTCCATTTTACTTATTATGATTTAATACACAATAAGTAATTTTTTATTAGTGGTTTGTTTTTTTTTTTTTGTATTAAGAGGACATTACTCCCGTGTGTGTTGTCTCTGTCTTACAAATGTATGACATATCAAATATTTATTCAATTGTTCTTATTTTATGTATCAATATTTAATAATTGATAAAATTGGTCTGTAGTTTTAAAACTTTTTTTGGTCTTATAAGAAATATATACTCTATACAATTAAGCACAAAAAGAATATATGAGATAGGGAATTTAAAAATATTAATGGGGTTACGTTAATACCTATGATAAAACTTAAAAGTAAAAACATTCATTTGGGATTCATACAATATTTTTAATTTTTTAGTAAATTAAGAAAATGTAAAATTTTTGCAAAAAAAATTATTAGAGAGTAAAGCATCTCCTACCTTTATGCTTGATAATAAGTCAATTTTCTCCATTATTAAAAATTATTACACAAAATTGAAACTGTTGAATATAAATTTGCTATTTTTTATGTTTGTAATGATTTGTTAGACAGAGAAAACACATGTAGGTGTGGCATCATATCTTGGGTACATTTTATATAAACTAGAAATTAAATAATATTATTTATTTTATTTTTCTAGAGTGTTATGCGACAAATATTATCGGGAGTTGACTTTCTTCACTGTAATCGTGTTGTACATCGTGATCTCAAACCACAAAATGTTTTAGTGTCCAGTGACCTAAGAATTAAAATTGCTGATTTTGGTCTAGCCAAAATTTATGATTTTGATATGAAGTTAACCTCAGTTGTAAGTAAATATTTAATTTAATTAGAATATAAATTATAACTTGTATGTAGGCTTGGAAGTTATAGGAGTTTAATAGGCAAAATATGCATAAAAAATTGTTAAATTATGAAAGTATTAAATATGCTTAACAAACATTTAAGAACCAATGAAATATACATTTAACATTTTTGATTTTTATACTTACTGTTGTGTAGTTTAAATTTTTAAATTGGTTTACTATAAATCAAGAGCATGTAGAAAAAATATGCATTTCCCTATTACTTTCAAGCCTTAATTATAAATTTAATATTGAAAAATAAATTGTATGTGTTGTGTTTTAAATGTATTGCTACTATTTAGGTTGTAACATTATGGTATAGAGCACCAGAAGTTTTATTAGGTTTACCTTATGCTACTGCTGTTGATGTGTGGGCTTGTGGCTGTATTATGGGAGAGATGTACAAATTATCTCCTTTATTTAATGGCGAATCTGAAGCTGAACAGTTAGATAGGATATTTAGGTAATTAATGATTAGTAAAAATATTGATTATAAAATTGAAATGGAAAATAATTCTAGGGTAATTGGTTTACCATCTGCACTAAATTGGCCAAAGAATGTTTCTTTATTGAGAAGTTCTTTTGAGTCTTATTCACAGACTTGTTTGAAGACTGTAATTCCTGATCTATGTTCTAAGGGAGAAGATTTGTTAATGGTGAGATTTCTTTTATTAATGCTTAATGTTTTTTTACAAACTTATTTTTTTTTATTTTTAAATACATTTTTGATTAAATTGGTTAAGTATGAAAATGTTAATTTGTTGTAATATTGCATTAATTACATAAAACAAATAGTTTAAATACATGTGTGTGTGTTTTCAGAAAATGTTGATATTTGACAGTACTGAACGAGTGTCAGCTCGTGAGGCTTTGAAACATCCATACTTTAATGAAACATAAATTTGATTTTATCTTCCTTAGAGACTATTAATGTAAGTAATAAAAAAATAAACTAAATTGTCATTATAAAAATAAATGTATGGTACATTTATATGGACATTGTGTACATATTGTCAATACTTAAGAACATATTATAAGTATCTTAGTTTTTTATTTAAAATTCTTGTGCATTATATTATGCATGCTAGTATATTGTATCCTATGTTTATTGCAATATCCAGAATCAACTACAATATTTCAATCACATGATTAATATCATAATATTAAATAGTCCTAAAATTATTTTAATTACTAAATATTTTATGTTTTTAATTTTCAATATTATTATAGTATATACTATATAATATAATTCTTTTTTAAAATTATTTATGTTTACCCCTTAAATAGTGGGTTTGTGGTGTCCTCTTAATATTAAGTTACATTTTTTTGGGAATTTCATACTCCTAAAACACTAAATTAGATAATCTATTATTTAATATATTTTTTTTTTTTCAGAAGTTTATTTTAATGCATGCAGATACTTAGTTTGTATGAGTCTAAGGCAACGTATAAGTTATTATACTAAACAGTATTGCAAGTCTCAAAGAAAATAATAATATTCCTAATTAGAAGTTACAATTTGAGTTCCACTGTGGTTAACCATTTGCGTAGAACAGTTACCAAAATATTATAACCAGTACATATTTGTTTACCAACTAATTAATTTTAAGATCTCTCACTGTTTATATCCAACTTTGGATCTCAAAGTTTTGTAATTGACCTTACATTTTGAAAATTATTTTTATTTTGCTCAATGACCATACTTTTAAATCAGTAAATCAAAAGACTTGCCATTTTTCTGTCTTTGCTGACTTACTTTTCTGTGTTAACTTCCTTTTGTCTGTACTTGTATAATTTAAGATTTTTTTTTCTAGTATTTTTCATTTTGTGCACTGACTGGATTTTAGTGCAAAAAATACATTTGTACTTCCATATGATATTTTGTAAATATTTTATCTTATGTATTTTGATGAATAGTGTGGGTTTTGATTATTAAAATTGGGTCTGTACCTTATTTTTTTTTTAATTTAAAAATATTTTTTTATCTTCTTTCATTTTTTTTAATTTTATTTATTTCAGTCTTAAAATATATTTTTATGTTTAGATATGAAATAAAAGGACTGTTTATTTTTTAAATATATGTATTATTATTTTATACTAAAGCTTTTGAATTTTATATAACAACATTAGGAATGTATTTTGTTATAATTTTTAAAATCTAAATAATATCTTGATGTTATAATAATCAAGTAATCATTATTTGCTGTAGAAAGTAATCAATGAATTAAATTAAGCTTACATTGGTTGGGTTGCTGTTCTAAGAGACATCCACAAAAATTTACTTAAATGTGTCAGTGTTTTATTTTGATTAAAAATCATTAGTTGTGACTTTATATTAATAATTTTAATTTAATACACATTATACATTTATACATAATATTATTTTACTATATATTGCATATATTTAACTGTAGTAATTATAAAATTTGCTAGTAATAAATATTATAATCTGATAAGGATATGGTAGTAAAAAATATTAATTTTGTTAACATATAATTTATTTAAAAAAAAAAAAATTAACTTATAAGTATTATTAGGTAACAATATTTATATGATATTAATTATCTTTATAAACTTATTAACTTAATATTATTATATCACATACATTATTTTCTTTAATTGCAGTGCAAATATAGTTAAGATTTAAAAAAAATATAAATTTACCAAAAATTGACTTTCTATTACTTTAATAAAAAATATCTCTAGAATACCTATTTAATTAGGTAAATACTAGCTAGTGCGACTTTTAACATTTTTAAGGTTTGTACAGGAGAAAAAAAGTTGAGAAGTTAATTTGTTGGAAAATTTTTTTATATGTTTTTCTGTTTCTTTTGTTTTGAATTTATACCTAGTTATAATCAATCATTTGATAAAAGTCTTTTGATTATGAATTGTTGGTGCATAGCCGCACCAACTCACAGTAAGTCACACTTCAGTGACTCACTAGTCACTGTGTGCTATAAATTATTTGATAAAAAGTATAACCTACCTATTATTTGCTATAAAATAAATTATAAATTTAAAATGATGTAAGTAATTATTACATTTTATTAAAAATGTTAAAATACAATAAAACAACCGCAGAACAGATAAAAATAACATTGTTTTAGATTTATTCAGCAATCATAATATTATATAATAGTCAAATCCATTTAAGTGAACCGACATCATTAAGTTTATTTATTTTTATTAAATATCAATAGTGTTAAACTATTATAATAATATATTAATATGTATGTATTTGGAAAAATTTATGACATTAATTTAATGTTTATATCGTAGGTATTATTTACGCGTTTTTTTTTATTCTAATCATGTGGAGAACGGTTCTGTTTAGGCATAGTCGTTGAAAGTTTTTCGTTGTTGGACTTGTTTTTTGAAGTTGACGGGTTATTGATATGGCTGTTGCTGGTATTGTGCAAAGGTAGTCTGTCGTTCATATCCTGAAATACGAAGTTGATTTTTAGAAGATTTGTAACCATAATACAATTTCTTATGACAAATTTGTCCAAACGTAATTTATTATGTAAATCGCATCATAGGTATAATAAAAATCAATCATATTAATCAGTGGCGGCGGGATATAGGATTATTTGAAGCAATTGCTTCATGTTTGAAAGCTCTTTGGCCACTGCTACTTATTAAGGGTGGTGGTAAAAATATTTAAAATATACAATATGCTTCAAAGCCTCCACAATTTCGCGCCGCCACTGATATTAATTGTATTTGTATTATTGTTGATGGAGTGACGTCGTATTCAAATAAAATTATAGATATCGAACGCTTTAAAATTAAATACCTTATTTAATGTCTACCTATATATTTTTTTATTCTTCTCATTTTATAATATTATATGTTTTTATATTATATCTTGATAAAACATGATATCAAAACAATATCTGAATGATAAAAAAAGAAACAAATTGGTGGGGCTATTAAATTTATTTTTACACAAAAAAATTAAGTAGGTAAATCAAAATGTATTAAAGTTTCAACAAACAGTACGTTTATGCAATCTACACGATACATAAATGTAATTGTATAATAGTTTACATGTTTAATATTATATTGAAAGCTTGCGTTATGCACTCATGTGCAAGTATTTCAATAATGATTGGAAATGTGAAATGCAATAATATTATATAGGAACCTACCTATATTATATATTTATATATGTTCAAATATTTTTGTCGATTTACAAAAATAGTATATCTTTCATTTGTTACAGTGATCGGAGATCTATATTAGGAGGTAGGTACTTACGCTAGTATTACGAATTTTAGAACATCTGGGATAGTTTTTTTTTTTGTTAGTGCACGATTGAAAATGCTAAGAAATAAAAATATGTATAAAAAGCTTAAGGTCTGGGCTATTTTTTGATTACCAAGTCTCGAATTTCTTATATAAGAGGCATAGTGTTATATTATATTATTATAATCGTGCATAACGACCATTAAAAGGCTTACCGTCGTTGTAACGGTGACATTGCTGAGTCCACCACCATTGTGAACGGTCATCAGCGCATTGGAAATGTTCGTTAAGTCATGGTGTAACTTTAACACTTGGTTGGTGGAGTAAGCTACCGTTCTAGTCACTTGATCAGACTGTGTTTTGATGAGTTCCGACAGTTCCGCGAACATTTTTTCCTCCAGATTGCTTTGGGTTTTCAACGTTTTCGGTATTTGTTCCAAAGTTGTGCTCTCGGACTTGCTCCTGAAAATAGATAATCCTATTATCCTAAATTTATTCTATTATACTTTTTACAGATTATAGTATTATACTGTGTGAATTGCAAAGAAAATAAGGTCTATTTGAGTAAAACAAAACCGTCGAATTGCATTGAGGAATTTTTATTCTATATTTTTTTTGTTACTTGAAATAGGTACCTAATCTTACAATAAGTTCTGTACCTTATACAAAAGTTTATATTTAATAAATATAAAATAAAACAATAAAAAAAATCTGATGTGGTATTTATTCTTTATTGACTTAGTAACTAAAAAAAAAAACTAAATACTATTTAAAATATCCACTGTTTGCATTTATATACTTTTCCTAAAGATCTATATTGTATGGTCACTCGTCTATGACCATACGCATCAATTCTAATGAATTTGAGTTTAGGCAAGGCAATGAATTTTACATTCATATACCTACATTAGGTAGGTACGTATGTCCTATTTAAAAAAAGTACTTAAAAAAAATTGTAATTGCTCTCACTTGTTATCAATACGATCTAATATCCTTTTCAATATATCGACCATATCATTCTCGATTTGCCGTTCGTTTGATTGCAACCGGTGACAATTGTCCATAAATAAGTTTTGTCCATCTACGAGTAATTGCAAATTTTCTTTGAATTTGGCTTCGAGTTCGTTTTCTGAATTTTTCTGAATTACTGTTATTTTGTCGATGGCCGCTTCCAAAAAACCTATAAAAATGTATTAAAAAAAAAAAACTTACTCTATCAATATTTGGTGACTAGTTCGTTGATCGATCGCCAGGGATGGTATCTTTTTCAATATTTAATGTTATGTGTTAATGTAATAAAATTATTATTTTAATAATACTAGCGAACTTGACCTTTTGAAAATATGTGATACATGTATTCGATTAATATTAACTACATAATTTTATTGTTTATTTTATACTATGTACGATTAGATATAACAAATTGAAAATATAGAGCGTTCAAACATTCAAAGACATAATTCATTCATCATACATTAGGTAACCCATGGGCGTCCCTAGGGGGAGGCAAGACAGAGCACTTGCCCTACCCCCTAAAATTTTAAATTTGTTACCTAATTGTTATAATAATTTAATGTAATAATGACGAAAAATAATAATGTTCTATAAATAAAATGTATAAAAAAATCTTCATTTATTTTTACATTAATTTTGCCCCCTCCCTAGAAAAATGTCTGGATAACTTTAATGATATGCTAGTATCCACTATGTACATTATTGTAATATTACAAGTTTTTTCATTTTCTAAGTATTTTTATTTATTTCTGCTCTCCATTTCTAAGTGTCAGCAATAGAGTTGGGTTAAACCCTAAATTAAATGTTAGCGACAGTTGATAATTTCAATTGTCATTTAGTATGTTTTAAAAATATGTTAAATGGCGTGAACGAAGCACAAAATTATGTAATACCATAAATTCATACATGGATTTTGATAGACATACAAGATTGAGAAAAAAGACATAGAAATATGATCATTATCCATCGTCCAGTATAAGTGAAAATTTAGTGGATTAAATATTTAATTACATACATCACTAATGGAGCGAAAATTAATTTAAAAAAACTTAAACAGTAAATCTAATTTAGTAAGTGAATTCGTCTATGGCTAACGATGATTTATAAAGATGAACACTTAAAAAGTTTTTTGTTTTTAGATTGTTATTACCAAGCCGGATTGGTAAAGTATTGGCCTACTGAGTTTTCTAACATTTGATTACAGTTACAGTTACTACACGATTTAAATAATTCAAATTAATTATATTTTTGGTAATGTTTGTACCTACTAATTTATTACAAATATAAAAAAATAAATAAGACCAACACTCAAAACGAGCCTATATTTTGAGCGGCCTACCGAGTTTTCCTTGGTAGCTCGCTAGACCAATCCGGCTCTGGTTATTACAATCTTCAACAGTGATAAATAATAATTATCTTTCATTCTTACTATCCAAAAACTCGTTAATCACGCCACGTCTATCAGAGTCCAATCTCCGCCGATACTTGTCAGTGTTCTCCACCAATTCCTTGAGTGTGATGCTAATGTGATCTGAACGTTCTTTGAGTCCATTGTACATATTATTTATCTACGAGACATCATGTACAATTTTAATATTTTCTCAGAAACGTAAGGTATGTTATTTCAAAGTTATAAATTTTTATCCTAACTAGGTAACCAATATTAAATATTCTGTACAGTTAAAAACAGATATTTCATTGCTACATAACAATTGGAAGGAAAGCGATACTACTAAACTAACACTAGAATGGAAACCATACGGAAAGAGACCCCGAGGAAGACCCAGGAAAAGATGGATCGATGTTGTCGGAGAAGATCTAAGGAATATGGGGATAGATGCATGGAGGGAAATGGTGCTTGACAGAGATAGGTAGCGTGAGGTTGTATTGACGGCTAAGACTCTTATAGAGTTTTAAAAGCCAGAAAAAAAAAAGAAAGAACATAACAATTTTAAGACTACTCGTATTTAAAATAGTATTAGAACGGCACCTACCGTTGTCGTTAGTTTATGATTGTTAATTGTTATGTCTGGAATTTGACTGGAATCGCTGTCTTGATTACACGAACAGGTACTCAGTGATCTGTCCATGACTTTCGATTGTTGAGATAAATTTGCAATAGTGTCCTGAAAAAAATAAAAGAAACACAATAAACAATATAATTGCGACCAAAATGACTATAGCAATTTTAGAATAGGAATGAGACGATGAAAATTACACGAACAATTAAAATACGTTTACATTGGTATTGCATGGTATACATGACTTTTTTTTTTATCTATTATTTCTTTTCAAAGCAGTAAAAATGATTCAGTTATTCATGTTGAGTGTAGTTTCTAACTATGAAAATTGAATATAACATTTACTAATGGGATTTAGAAGTAAAAAAAAAAATTAATTTTGATTATTTATTTAGGTAATTAAATTTCTAATTTTCTAAATTTTTCCCAAGTTTAAAAGCTTGAAAATTAAATAAAAAGTTCCTCATAGGTTGTTCTTACAGAAATTAAAAAAATTAAAAGTACAGTTATGGCTTTTTAATAAGCGATAGAGGTTTTCAATGTTGATAAAATCATGAAACTATTAAATTATTTTTTAGTTCAATTTATAAAAATTTTAATTTTAATACTAATCTTGAAACTTAGTACCAACTAGATTTCTTAAAATTTTTTCTTATTGAAATTAAAAAAAAAAAACAAGTTTAGCTTACAATAATTACAATATTCTTCTTTTTATGATAGATAACTAGTCTTAAGTTTTAATTTTAACGTAGTTTGTTGAAAAAAATTAAATATTAAGTAACTTTAGAAACTTGAAATATTCCAATATCAGAAAAAATAATTACGAAAAAGATATAATAATGATAATTTATCATGATTAATTTTCAGAAGTTGATTTATATATTTTCTGATTGACAGATATTCCGAATTTGGAAAGTTTAATTCGAAATGAAAATGTAAATTATATGATTTTTTGGTTTATTCCTATTATTATGGTATTTATGAAATATCAAAAAATAAACTATAAACCTTATGTATATAAGTATATTGACAAAATGATTAAAAAAGTGTGTAGTATGTATTTATAATGCTCCTTTAAATTATGTTCAATTAATTAAGAGTTAGAAGTAAAATTATAAATAGTATTGTAAATTATTTATAAAATACATGAGTACAAACATTGTGTTTTTCATGACTATAAATTTCAAAACTGTTAATGACCTTTTATCTTTGTTTTAAATCAAAAAGTAAGTAGTTTGGTCCTATGTTGAAAAATAACTTTATGCATACGATATAAGGACTAAATTTCTAAAGAATTTGATTTAGTGATTGTGTGCAGACTGTAATAATTATTATGTTATTACTTATTAGTTATTAGTTATTAGTTATAGAAGTCGCTGTAAAATTTATGCATTCAAATAGATTTTTTTTTTAAACATTTTGAAAAAGAAATAACGGTATTTTTACAATTTATTTTAACTATAATATTTTTAAGAATCCATCTTGCCGATAAATAAATTGTTCTAAGGTTCAAGCATAGGTAATAGGCATACGTTCAATATTTTTATTTTACTTGTAACTGTTTCTTGAAGGTAATCTGATTAGAATTGTGTTTCTCAAACTCGGAGTTCATATCTTTTTGCATAGTTTGAATGTCAGTGGACAATTCTGTCTGTCTGTCAACCACTTTCTTGATTTCTTTCTCCAGTTCTTTCTGTAACACAGTCCAAATGGACAAAACGGTCTGTTAAGTAACGCATCGTTTTCTTTTCATCTTTGGCCGATTGCCTGTTAAAACCAGCCGGCAGCCAGTAGCCTCCGTTGATTAAAAACGCATGTTACCAGCGAGTTATTTATTTCCCTTTTCTCTCGATCCTATCAACACTACCCAATTAAAATGCATACGTTTTATTATCTATAAATAAATAATGTGTTTATTAATTATTTCGATGCAACGTATAATATCATGCAGTAATTTATTATTTGTTATGTCTTGTCAATACTTTTTCAGTAGCAAAAGTAGCATTATTTCACCATTAATCTATTATAATTATTTTTTAAATCAAAAATAATACCTACTTATTTTTCCAATATTACACATCACTCATTAGCCTAACAAAGTCGAAAATAACGAATTACGTCGTCATTGAAAGTATTGTTTTTTAATGAATTATATAGTATTAAATATAAATACTTATAATAATATACAATGCTTAGTACTTCTATACATAAATATAGTATTTATAATATTTATGTGTGTGTTAATAACAATTAATGTACCTATAATATATATATATATTATATATTATTATATTATTGAAAAATAAAATACTCTTTGGTAAAAATAGACTATATATTTTGTTATTAATTTAACATATCTGCGTGTTATTCATATTGACCTGATGATTTTGCACAGTCTGTAGTGTGGTCTCCATGTGTTCTAATGTAATTTCTAGTTGTTGCTGAGCCTTGTCGAGACGTCTGGTCATGTGGTTCGGACCACATTCCTCCATCACTGACTGAAATGCCAAATGGTTTACATAATTACATAGTTCGGTATAATAATAATATTTACATTATGATTTTTAGTCTAATAATACAATATTTTGTAACTCTAACGTAGTCTAACCGTCATGTTACGGTTCAAACACTGAAAAAAAAATATTTTATATTGCAGTTCAATAGAGGAATATAAATACATAGAGACTAATCTGTACATTGTAATAATAGAGTGGATAAAAGTGGGTATCGTTGTACTAGTGATACATATTAAAGCTAAATTATGGTACTTATATATTATTATACATAGTTAGATATTGATGATAATAATAATATCTTAACTTTTATTAAAATTTAACATTTTATTTTATATACCTGTTGAAATTTATCAAACCACATTTCGTTGGAAACTTCTAAATGACTGAGCTTATTGAATATTATGTCTATTCTGGAATTTATTCTTTCTGTTTGTTGGTCCCGTCTTAATGTATTTGACAAATCTCTTAGTCTGAATTCGATATTTGAAACTATAGTGTAGACCTGAAACAAGGCGAGACGTGTTACGTGAGTGAGTGGTTAAATATATTTCAATCGTGTGAAACAAATAATACATCTGAAGCAGTTTTAATCAGCTCGGAAAATTAGGTACAGAGTTAAAACACTAATATATAATTGTCATATAAATTTCTATGATGTATATGAATTATGGATATAAAGAATGAAATCAGTTGAAAGTTAGCAAACAGCAACAAAATGTAGTATTGTTTATTACTTTATTGTATATTATTATTTGCTTAAATTAAACTTAAACTTTTAATTATTCTTTGATGTGAATGTTATTTTACTAAATAATTAAAAATTAAATTAATTATTTTTTTAAATTTCTAAACATAAATATTGAAATATATTTGACTAGTATATTATGAACTATTTCAAATAAAATAAAAATATGCTTAAAACATCTTAGCTTCGTCATTTATATATAAAAAAAAAAACTATTTTTAATAATATTTAAATTTGTTTATTAAATTATTCAACATTTATAAATGATAAGTTATTAAATGATGTTTTATAGAAGTTTTTTATTAAAAGAATTATTTAATGTTTTAACTATTATTGGAGGTAAATTAATATTTGATTAAATATTTTTTATACAAAACGGTTTTAACATATCAAATCGGTTACAATTATTTTTTTAAATTAATATTTATTTAATACGTCTAGAAATTATTAATATTACTATTTATAAAATATAGTTATACCGTAAATAATAATATATATTATTGTTAGTTTTGATTCGGATTGTTTAACAAGGTCAGTCGTGACAATTATCGTTATAATATAATATCTAATGTTAACAACATGACACATATAGGTACATATTATCCAAATAAATCTATCTAGTAAAAATTAATATTTACTTAATCATTTCATTGGATTAATTAATTCATATATCGAATTGTCGTTGACAATAAAACTGATTTATTAATTACCCAACTAGAAATGGTTTTTATAAGTGGAAATGTACAATATTTTTTAATATCCACACGCTTCTGAAAAAACATTTGTTTATCCATTAGGATGCTTTAAAGTTTAATTTATAAGTACTAATAATTAATCCATAGTCCTTGACTTTTGAATCCATGAATATAATTTTATTTTACCAATTACATAAGTTATTAATTTATTAATCCAGAATACTCATGCTATCCGTCCAGGCATACAAGTCAGTAGCTTAAGAGGATATTATCGCGTAACATTTATTTTCTTTCCCAGACTCACGCGCAACATAGATAAAGTGCATTCATTTAAAATTTTTATTTATGATTAGTAAGTATTCTTGAAAAATAATATTTAGGATTTGATATATTAGTTTTAGATTTTAATAAATATTATTGGATTAAAAAAAAAAATAAAAAGAAGCATTTTGTAAATTTAAATATATATTATATTGTTTTGATACAATATTTTAACAAATTAACTAATTATACTTTTATAAATATCATTGTAAATATATTTTGTAATGGGTAATTTTATTCTTCACAAATTTTTGAATGTTGATTGTGGACTAGAAAAAAAAAATAAACAGTACGCAAAGTGCTTGTATCTCTTTAATAACGACATAACATCGTTAAATATTATTATTGACAGTGCTTGATTTAGAAAAAAAATAGAAGGTGGACTCATCGGATGTTTGATAAACGAGCGTTCCACACAAAATTAACCGTCATATTACCGTGGGGGCAAATAGAAGAGGTACGCTAAAAAAAAATTAAAAAATAAGGGGGACTCTGTCCCTTCACGCCCCCCCCCCCAAGTCAGGCACTGATTATTGATATTTATTTTAATACACTATAGTAAACAAGTATTGAAGTAGTAAATAGTTTCAAGTATATTATTGTATCCTTAAGTTTAAGTAGAAATATTGTATGGTATGTTTGTAATTTTTACATAATATACGTATTATATCATGCAAATTTGCTTCATAAAAATCAGTAGAATGATAAATTTATAATATGTATCAAACTCAAAAGCACATATTTTACTATAATAAGTTTATTAAATTTCATGTTTTTATCAAACGTTTTTTCCACATCGTAAACGTATTGAAAATTAACATACATTAACAATGGATACGAGCCAAGTGTACTTTTTTATTTTTCATTTTTTGGCAGTTGGGAGTATGAAATAAATCGTCATTAAACATCTATGCAATGAACTTATTTAAAGCGACAATAGTAGCTAAAATAAAATGTTTATCTCTTCACAGAAAAAGATTAACTGTCACAGTTAGATTAGGTTGATAAATAATAAGTAATAACTGTTTCTGTGAATTTTAACTAAGTAGTTGATTGTGCATTAAACATAATATTATATGTTATATATTATATTATAACGTAGTTTTCTTGTTATTCTATACTTTAATGAACAAAATAGTGTAATTTATAGTGAACTATCAATAGATAGTCACATTAATTTTGATTAACTATAATTAAATAATAAGAATAAAAAAAAAGTTTCAATAGCATTCATAGAAATGTCATTCTAATGAGGTGGGAGACTATATATTTCTATATTAATATATATATTTATCATATTTATAGTTTTATAAAAATATTTTAGATGGTGTCTCAGCGATAGACCGACTCTGAAATTTCGAATCCGGTTGTAATCTTAAAACAATGTTGTTGTTTTTAATGTTAGTTTAGAATTTTTCAATAACCGTCTCACCAAGTTATGATTTTTTGGTTAAAATATTTATCGATTTTGGTAATTCGTGTTAGGTACTGAGTAGGTACTTAAAAGATCAGGTACTATATTCTGTGACGTTATCACTGTCATCTATATAATTTTTACTTTTCATTCATAATTAAATTAAATTTGTTTACAGCGATATTTTCCTCGGAAATGTTTACACAGATTACCGGTAGGATAACGGAACGTTTAGAAGTCTCGAGTCTTGAGTAAATAGTTTAGTACGTTGGTGAAACGCTATGTTCAACAAAATGCACCATACCGCAAAACTTCAGGAGAGAATTTACCGTGGTTTGGGTAACATAATACAGTAGACGCCGCTTATAAGACTCATTTTGGGACCAGCACAAAGTGAGTCTTATAACCGAATGAATCTTATAGGCGAAGTAGAAAAAAAAAATAATTACGTATTTATAAATTTTATTTTACTACATATTTTGCTTTGATTTTAATACATTAACACATATTACGTATTACATACTTTATTATTGAATACATTTAATAATCCCCCCAAAAAAACTAAAATTATAATAGGTAAATATTACATATTACGATAACTGTGCAGCCGCCAGATAATCAGTACACTATAACAATTATCGTTGCGATAAATGTGAACTTTAATCTGCGATAAAAATTATTATACGTTATAAGATACTAACAGAAACTAGAAATAATCAACACGAATATTATTTAATTTTTCAATACCAATTTATTTCTAAATTATAACCAAAAAAGTTTATTTTCTACTATCTATTTTACGAAATTTGAGTCTTATAACCGATTTTTTTTTTAATGTATTTGGATACGTCCGGACCGTTCCAGATGATTTTGAGTCTAATAAGCGACTGAACCTTATATCCGTGAGTCGTATAAGCGGCGTCTACTGTATTAGACCGCGTACGCGCCTTTTGAATCGCGAGGAAATAATTAATTGTAATGTTATAATATCATCTTTACGTGCTCGTCATAACAATAACATTATGGTGACAACTAATGCGCGGCGTCCATCGCAGAAAATTCATAATAATTATGCAAGCAGTGTAAACACAATAATAGCGACAATCGTTATTGTAGGTGCGTCGAAAATTCGAAAACCGTTAATTCGATCTACGGTTTTCGAAATCAACCCCTCCTTCTCCCCCCCAAAATATCGCCGTCACTCAACAATACTACCGACCTGATTGACCGTGAAAGTGCTCGGCGTTCCACTACCGGCTAGGTCGCCGTGTATGGACATGGTGATGTCGGGCCGCAAGTCCATCGCGGCGGCGGCGGTCAGCAGCAGCAGCAGCAGCAGCAGGGCGGGGCGGCATCGGCCGCAGTGCAGTGCGACTGCGGGGCGGCATCGCGGCAGCAGCCACCACCGCCGCAGGCCGCGGTTCGCCCGTCGCTGGCCGCCGGTGCGCGCGGTGGCTGCAGGGACTGCGCGCGGTCGCGACGACATCTGGCCGGCGGTGGCCGCGATAGCGTTCGGCGCGTTACCGTGTGCTCGCCTCGTCGGGCGCGGCTACGACAGTAATGAGACGACGAGACGACCGGCGACCGACGGGCGGTCGGCGGTCGGTCGGGCCACGGCGGCGGCGACGTCGGCGATCTGCGTAATACGTATGTTATAATAGTCTCTCCCTGCGCCCCACCACAGTCCTATGGTATTACACATTATTGTTGTGTACGACATAAAAATATTATTATTGTCTTTATCCGTCTAACAGCAGTCGCTCACTCTCTCTCTCGCTCACTATCTCTCTCTCTCTCTCTCTCTCTCGCCATCACTCACTCTATCTCTCTCATTTCTTTATATTTTTCTCTTCGCCGCTATACACTCACTCGTGCCCGTGAACGCACCCACACGCACGCACCCACACGCACGAACGAGCCCCTTCGTGTGCATATGTTTTACGCCGACGCCGCCGCATACCACCACCGGTTCAGTCGAAAACCCCTAACACTAGACTCGAAGTGATTAACACGCATAGAAGTGGCCGTCACGGTCTTCGGAGAACACTGCGCAATAAACTGTGTTATTGAGATAACAAGACTCTGAGCGATGTTTTCGTCGACGTGATGATGACGTTACGCGTAGAATAATAATTATTGTACTGTTTCTGTACAGAATGGTAAAAATGTCGAGTGTCTTTTCTGTTAAATGGTTTTCTCAGTCATCCATTTGTTTTGTTTATTTTCCACTCCCGGACAAGAGTGGATAACATCATTCGCCAAGGGAGAAACGACGGTGAACTAAAGTGCGGTAAAAAGGGAAATCAAATAATCAAAAAGAAACGTATAGTTTTTGATAACAATAATAGCTTTTGATTATGACATTTCGATGATTATGTATCAAGATTTAGAAGTGGGGGAAAAAAAAATAAAAGATTTTCTCACTATTCATCAAAATAAAATAATCGATGTGTTGTCAGTGTAGTATCATAAAGTAACCATATTATAGATTGGATATATATAGCAAAGAAAAACAATGTGAAAAAAGCAAATAAATCACAAATACGGTTGTAAAAATTTAAAACTTATTCTGTAAAATTCGTAAATGTCTACTTATGAGGAGGTGTTTCGCTGTAATGGTTAAACATATACAGTATCTATTAAGAATTTTAAGGTAATCACTAATATGGTTGTATTTGATAAAATTATGCCTAAATTAAAAAATAAAAGATAGGATAATCATATTATGATGAACTTTTCGATAAATATCAGTTTTTCTTTAACAATCATCATAAGCATGGATTTGCGTTAAAATATTAAAATTCTTCAGAAAGTGTGTTCGGAATCCGTATTATTAAGAAATATCATTTTCAAAGGAGTGTATTCACTTCAGGGCACATTAAAAAGAGTTTACAAAAGAAAATAAAATCGTACTTAAAAACGTTCAAAATATACTTATGTTGATATTTATAAAATAAAATAGTTTGGTTGAAATTTGAAATTAATATATTATATTGATATCGTACTAAGAGTACATTTATATGTACACTAGTACACTGTTAATTGATTTTTTCTATCAGATGATAATTTTTTTCGGACTAAAATGGAAAATAATATAATCATTATATATATTTAATAGTTGCTGTTAGTTGTTAATTTAGTATATAAATCGTGTATACATTAAACATAAAACATAATAGTCTAAAGTATTAATTTCAATTTATTTTAATAATAGGGTACTCGTTTTGAAAAAATGTTAGGTATGTAGGATTATATAAGCTTTTAAACATACTATTATATACAAGTAATGCAATATTGAATTTAAGATTTATGTTTTAAAAGCATTGTGTTAAATGTTAAATATATATTAATATAATTGACTATACATTGATTTTATTCTAAATTTCGTCAAAATGTAAAATTTAAAATTTAGAATATCTATAAAAAAATTATTTTTTGCATTTTTGAGAATTTTAAGTTTCGGAAAGAACAACAATAACATATTATGAAGAATTTTACATTTTAAGACTAAGTTATCAAAAATTAAAATTGTTTATAATTTATTTAATTTCCACATTTCTGTGATTTTGACTAATTTCGTCATAATTTCAACTTTAAATGCATATAAAAGAAAGTCAACTTTTATTTTTGAGGATATTTCATAATTTGTTTATATTACAATTTTCTATTAGTAATTTATAGGGCTCGGAAGTTGTAGGAGCTAAAAAAAAAAAAAATATGCACGAAAAAGTTATAAAATATGCATTAAAAATGGTGTAAAGTATGCAAAAAAAATATTCTGAATTCCAAAAAAAAAATAAAAAAATAAAATACATTAGATTTTGTTAATAAATTGATAAAATAATAATATACTTAATAATTGTTTATAACTGAAAAACATTTTTAACTGGTTTTTAATATAATTAAAAATATTTTTTCAGTATTTTTAAAATCACCATAAATACCGTTGTTGAAAATTTTGAGTTTTATATTCAATATTAATTAAAATATACAAGTTAAGAAAGAAAAAAAATCAATGTTTTTAGAAAAATATAAAATATGTATACTGTATAGTATGCGTATACATCAATGAAACATGCACTTTTTTTTTTTGCTAAAATTGACAAAATACGTAAAATATGCATTTTCAATTTTCAACTCTCTATTGTACAGTTCAGATTTCTAGCTTGGCCTGCGATAAATTGAGAGCATACAGAACAATATGCAATTTTTACAATTTCCGAGTCGTATTTAATATTTTTATTAGAAATATAGTATTTAAAATCACTTTTTACCAAAATTTCGTATGTATAATTTAATAATAACTATTAGTATTATAATTTACAATCATATAGCAGGTATTATATCACATAAATCATCGTTATTAACTTATAAGTATTAGTTAAAACTTAAAGGTCAATATTATGTACCGTGGAACAGTATAGAAAAGTTTCGTAGTAAAAGGGACTTTAATTAGTATAGGTAAGTGTTTTGAAAATATCATATGTTTGAAAAATTATAATATGTGCCATGGTAAACGTTTCAAGTATCTGCAGTTAATATTTTTTTCAATTACAATAGACTAAAATCGTTATTTTTCGTTTAAATTTCAATGTTTATAAAAAAAATATATGTTGATATATTTTTAATATTCCTAAAATGTGGTAATAATATATTATAAAAAATTTCGTTACACATTTTTTAGCTTTGCCTACAAAATTAAATATTTTTAATCAATTTTTAACTACAAAATTAATTTTTACAGTTTTAATGAATTTTGTGAAAATTTGAATTTCAAACTCTTAAAAAAAAAATTATAAATGTTTAGCCGTATGGCTAAATATACTTCTTTACAGTACATAATAATAATTCAATTATTTTTTAAAAAATTTATAAATTGTTTATAAAATATTATGTAGTGACTGTATTTTGGGATTTTTAAGTAAAAAATTTGGTTCACTCGCCAGGTTGGGTTTACTCAACCTATCTAATAATGCCTATTATAAGTTTAACCACTCATTATTGTGGTCTATATAAATATAATTATTATTTTATCTTAGTTGAAAATGGTGATAGACCTTTCGTTTATCGATCAATCGATTTGCTAACACCACTTATGCATAAAAATACTAAAATATAAAATGTATTTTTATAGTAGATAATTTATATTATTTAATATGCATGTGTTTAATGTATTAATTTTATTAAATTATTCTACTAAAATACTAATGAATAAAGTATAATATTGTTATATTATTGTATAGATCATGGTATGTAAACATTATAAATACCGAAATTTATTCAGGAATCACAGTCAACAACTTATTAAAATTATGAAAAAAGCTTGTGATTAATCTTTTTATTACATTTGATAATAAGATGATGATGATAAATATTTATTCAAACTTGTATACAATATTAGATATTATTGGTATAGACGTGTTACAGTATGACACTATGTCACTTATAGTCTATAGTTAGTAAATTATAAATACAATAAAATATTGATTTATAAATGCATGTTAACGATAGCTGCATGTGAAATAAAAAGATAAGTATGACATATTAATTTTCTCAATATAGTGTGTGCTGTTATGACCTGTTATATGAGTCCGGTTTGAAGTTATTGAATATTATTTTGTAGAAACGATCAATTTATAATAGTTTTTAATAAAACATAATTTAAAAAATAGATTTTTAATAACCTTGGTTAAATTAACGACATAGTATAGTTAGTATAGAGAGAATGAGGGATCTTTAAATTAGTGATCTCATGATTCGGGAATGTAATTCTAAATTTAAATTTAAATTTTAATCATGTACGTTAATACGTTATATCTATATAATGTCAACGACAAATATTGCTTTTAATGAAAATTCTATAACGTTAATTTTATTCCTAAAAATACATAATGGTGACACTATTTAATATTAAACTAAATAAACTTTTTTTACACACACATTTAAGTAAAAACTAAAATGATATATATATATTTTTTTTTTATTGTTTATTGATTCACACTTAATTTGTGTTAAATAAATATGATTTTAAACGGTTTCACATTATTTACCAATATCAACAATATAATGTATAGCTTTTATACTTATTTTGATATGGTCAATATTCATTATTTATTTATTTATGTATTAAGATTAAACAAATCATACTGATTAAATTGAGGCCTTTTGTTACAATTGCAGTATTTACAATTTTACCATAGTATAACAAATAACAATATAGACTAATTAATTAAAATATTCAGTTTAGAGGTTGTTGGTTAACTTTATTTGACCTAATCTAAAGAGGATGTTATTTAAATTATACAAACGTATAATAATATAAGACGAATTTTATGTTCATAATAATCCATTTTATTACCGATCTATTATTTTTAAAACTAGAGTGAATTGATTTGTTATAAAATATTCAGGTAAGATTATTATTAATATAATATTAGGGATTTTTATTCATATTTAAATTTTAAGCACGGTATGACTACTTAAATC